CCAAATGTAGAACGCTTCGATTAGAATGGATTCCGTTTACAGTCGAGATAGTATAGATTTATCGTGATTATATACAGGTTATTAGCAGCCTAGTGAAAGGATCTAGATCGTACGCGAGACCCTGTTAATAAGGACATGCAAGCATTCGCGCTTCTCGATCCTACAATCTGCACATAATCGTTACGTTAGTTTTTACTCCAACACGGATAAACAGAAAATATTAGAATTCCATGAACGCTGTTTTATCTTCATGTTTCTGCGTTTACGACTATTCGCATTCCCGGGGTCACTTTTTTTTAGCTCACCTCGCGAATTGTTCGTCGACGTGTTTCGAGAGCGTGCGCGTGAATCGATATGTTGTTTTAGCCACGCTGGAAATTGTCAAAGAAGCTTTCTAGTCGGGGATTCGAACGCACAAGCTGCTCTAACAGCGTTAAAAGGAGGCCTGTGTACACGAAACACAGGAAACCTGTATTTTCGCCGTGCCAGGCGGCAACAGACTCTGTTTCATTCTTGCAACCATCGGTGTTGACTCATCTCGATAACAACGCGAAGAGTTCCTAGCGATGTACGATCACACCTTGCACGATCGCCTCGACGCGTCAGTCTGTTTTAAAATCGAATTAAAAATGTTCAATTTTCCCGACGTATTCTTTCTCCGCGGAAAACTACCGACAAGAATTCGAGGCGCCGTTAATTATTCCGCGGCTGACTAACAAGTTTCAATGGAACAACGGTGCTGTGCGACCGTTTTGCCACGAAGCAGAAATGTAAACAGTCGTTTGCAAACGCGCCTTTATCTTGACCTCACGATTGCATAACGGCTTTCAATTTAACCATTATTGCCACTTTATGTGCCCTTAAGCGTGTCACGCAAAACTCGTTTCGCGATGAATTTTTGCACGACGCCGGTGATTCCTTGAAATACAAACGTTACATAATTAATTACACTAATGAAAGTCCGAGTCAGCCAGCAAAGAGAAAATATAAGCAACCGTGGAATTGTCGCTGCAAGGCTTGTCTTTATAAATTTAACGTAAAGTTAACTTCTACCAGCGATAAATTTGCAAAGTAATTGAGCAATAAATCCACGTGTCGAACATTATCGACGAAATTGGTTAATCGATCGAGCAGCTATAAAGTAGCAAAGCATGCTCGTTAATATATAGATTTGAAGACTGTTATACGTTTCAATAAATCACTAGCGATGCCAGTTTTAGACATGCGTGGCTAAAACGAACTTTACACTTTGTGTCTTATTTACGGGCGAGAAAAACCACGATTGTGGAAATTAACACGTCGCCGATCGAATAGAGATCTCCCTTCTAAGACGTGACGGACGACCGACCAAGGCTAAGCAAGAAACATTCCGTATAAATATCGAGCTCGGTCTCCCAAGAGTTCATAAAAGGCGCGATTTTACTTTCGAAACTTCGCGTCTCTATCGCGAGCATCGAGCAAGTGAAATAATAAAATCGAGCCAAGCATCGTAGCGGAATTTTCGGGCAAATTTGCTGCGACAATAAGTAAAATTAATTCTGTACATTGGGAGCATCGAGGGAATAGAATTATTGCGCTATCGATCGTCCCTCTGTGTATTGCCAAAAATATTCCATCCATTTTCTGGACGACCCATTTACCAAAGTAGTATCGCGTTTCCGAAATTTCCAGTCTCGAAATCACGTTTAATTATGATAATTCGATGTAATTTTCAGCGTACGTAAAGAGAGATCCGGGCGTTTTTCAATTAACTATTCGCGCGGAATTATGTTCATTATCGTTTCGATGCCCGTGATTCGAACATTCGCGGTACCTTTTGTGCGGGGATTCTGTATCAGGGATCAAATCCTCATAGGTTCTAGCTCTAGAGACTCGCGTTTATCATAAAAATTACAATTTGTGGCGATCGAAAGGTTCTTCTTTGAACGATTAACTAAAATATCTAGTTTCTTTCGAACGTAGCAAATTGCCTCCGTCTGTGTAGAGAAGATTCAATGTAATCTGACATTCTGCACAGCGCTGTCGTAGTACGTGGAAGCTACGTCCTCGCGGAAGACTATTATTATTGACTTTTTCATCTCTCTGGTAATTAAGAACGCTGTCAGAGGTCCATTAAAGCATTATGAGCCGCTTTGGCGATGTTAAGAAGCAAGTTTCAGCGCCCATCGCAGCCTCTCAGGCTCCAGGAGACTTTTAACAATGGCGACAGCCTCGTGCCTAGTCACGGACACAGTTGAGCTTGTGATTATGAAAGTGGCTTAAATCGTTATTGTTTTTCTCAATATATTTATCCACGATACTGTTTAGAAGCGTAAATCTGGATTTTTCCAAGTCTCAGCGACGTGTCGCTTTCCAGACGTATCATAATGTGCACAATGTTCTTTCCAATCGCGAATGTAACGCTTTATTCGACGAACTGGAGTTCTTTTTACATCGCGTGCAGAAGGAAGACAAAAACTGTTGGTCGATGTGAGAGTTTTCGAGAAAATAAAGCAAGGACGCCTGGTGACATCGGTTCGGTGCGCCCGAGTCAAAACTTTTTAATAATGGCGACGGCCTCGAGTCTAGTCATGGACATAGTTGTGCTCGTGATCATGAAAGCGGCTTGAATCAATATTTTCTCTTAATGTACTCGCTACGTTTCGAGCTATAATTTTTAAGGTCGTCTTCAGCGATATAAAAACGACGTGGAATATTTAATTTTAATGTTCGAGATAATTTTAGTGTTGCTTAACCTCGTTTCATCGTTTTACAAAATAGAGCGACGCAAACGAGAAGCTCAATTTTACCAGATTTTTCTACGGCTCCCGCGACGCGTTGCTTTCCAGACGCATCGGTCCGCGGATAAAATTCGCTCGATTCTCGAATCGAACGTTACATTCAGTCGCATTCATAATTACTGGCACAGTTATCGAGTCGCGTTGCGAAGTATTATCGGTGGAAAAGTCGACGTCGGGGGAAATGCAACGCAATATTAATTAACTTCTCAAGTACGGTCATTCTCGCTCGAACTAGTTTCAGAGTTCAGCCAACAAGTGGAATCCAATGTTTATAAAAATAGAATACTATTCTTCGATCGGCGCTAGGTATAAAAGCATTTCTTATTTTATTTTCGGCGCCGGCGAGTGTCAACCGAGCGCCCGGCTCAATTTCAACCCAGTTTCGCTCGTCCATTTCACGCAGATATTTTCAGAATACACGAATTAGATCGTGTCGGGCACATCTGCGCGAAACGTTATTTTATTTAGCGCCGAGATCACGCTGGAGGCGCTCTTCCAACGCTAACGAAAAAATACAAGTTAATTTCCACATTTTACATATTAAAAAAAAAAAAATTTTTTTTACAACGTTCCCTACTAACATTCATATATTTAGTTTTGATCAAATTTAGTCGACCTTTCGCGTCCGCGTCCCTCCAGTTCTCGCATTGTTTACGAACACGCTCCCGACATATTTAAATGTAAAGTTTCGGAACACCCCGTATAATCCACCAATACGTAAACATATAAATTGGCGCGAGAAGCAGCAAGTATGCAAAGCAGCCCGGGAGCCTGGATAACCGTGCCACCGCGTGGAATTTATCAATTTCAAAACAATTGAATTCCGCCATATTCCCCGCGCTCTAGATCGATATCTCGCTGGGATAACGATCATCGATCCACGGCGGGTCAGCGGTCCCGCAGGCGGGTCGAGTTCCACGCGCTGGCAATCTTACATACCATCACGGTTTCCGGTTCTCGACGACAGTTTCCGGCATCCGCGCGTCACCAATTGGCCGCAGGCACTCTCGTGCTTCTGGGACACGGATTGACCCAGTTGCTTCAGAATCCAGATTCACGATGGGCTGGGGTGGGGGACGGAGGGGGAGGGCTATGGAACGCACAGCGACGAGTGTGTTTCTTTGACATTTCGCGGATCGCTGGCAGGCAGCCGGTTTAATTTACCGGCAGCCGTTTTATTTCCTTCCGACGGACGGGAAACGAAATGAATTCGACCGTGTTCGTAATTACGACGTCAATCCGTTCTTCCTTTCGAAGGAAACGATAGGGTGACTAGGTTCAGGAAGCGGGATAAACGTGACTGCAACAGTAATCCCTCGATATAACGAGCCACGGCCGGGCTTTGCACGTGTCGTCGTATCGAGGCACGGTGGAGATCTCATTTCGGGAATAGATATCCTTTTATTTCGATCAGGCGTTGAGAATTGTTCGAAATTGTTCGTTAATAGAAATAAAAGTTTGGATATTTTTTTTTATCTGCGGGAGAGTATCGTTAATGGATACGTGAGCTCATCCCGATGGAAATGAGTCCAAACACGACCTCGTTCGGATCATTTCTAATTATACCTCGATATAACGACACAGCTGACTCAGGTTATGTTTTATCGAGGGATTCGTCCTCGTTATATTATTTTAACGTCGTTAACAATCGTGTATCTGTAACTCCACTGGTTTCTGTGCCCCTAAAACGAAACTAACGATCGTGGAAGATGCAATACAAGAAACTACTGGACCGAGGTAAATCCGGTCAGCGCGGTTGGAATACGAAGAAAGACTGAAATATAGCAGAAAAATTACTTCTGGTTCAGCTACTCGCTATTTAACGATATCTTTTCTCCAGGATCGCGGTTATAATCTATCTGACCATCTATACCCCGGCTATTTTAGTATGTTCGTTTTCGTTTCTATTTCGACCAAGGAATATCAAGATAAAAATTCGGAAACCTTCCAGAATTATTTAATCTCCTTCAGGGGACCAGAAATTGTTGCCAATGTCGGATGAATTCCCCTTTTAAAGTCCATCGACGTACCTCTTGCAGTAACTTAATATGAGCAGTTAAAATTATATAATTAAAAGTTTGATGGATTATTTTAGAATATTGAACGTACGGTTACATTTGAGCGTTCAGTGTTTTCTCGTCGAGTCTGTTTTTTCCTTTTTATTGAAATGTTTTAGCGTCAGATCTATTGATGTCTTTCTGGTCCTCTTTTTTTTTCCAGGAAAGTGGCGTCGCGATAATTAACAAAAAGAGGGTGCAAGGTTGAACGGGGGTGGCACTCGACTCGAACACGCCTGTAGTGGTTTACCGATAACGTTTTCCTGAATTTCCTGAGGGTGAGTCCTCCCTTGAATTTTTCACCAGCTCGTCTAAATTAGCAGAATTTTGTAGCATTCCGTCGATGAAAAGAATTTTCTGCCCGGCGAGCGCGTGAAATTTCTCATTTTTTTCGAATTCCCAAAAATATCCGCGTCTCGAATCGCCGCCAGTTCTCCGCGTAACGTTTATTTGGCGACAGTGGCAAAATATTCCTCGCGAAATTAATTTCTGAAACATTTTCGTTGGACATGGAATTTTATTTATTTTTAATTAAAAATAAAGAGGTAAAAATGTGCTCTCTATACGCGAATAATTTCAGTTCGGAGTGTTTAAATTTTTTACGCAGAATTTTCGTATTCGTCAAGAAACAAATGTTATATGCTTCGTCGAAAAATTTACCCCCATCCCACCCCCACAGACGAAGGTAAAGTTCGCGAGAAATCATTTAATCCTGAAAGCAATTTCTATCACGGCGTGGAACTTGAGTTAGTATTCGCAGTACAGGCAGAGAGCGACTTATTCGCTCGGCTGATCCGACATTTTTCTCATTTTTATTTTTATTTCCGCGTCACTGAAATAAATTGCACTTAGTAAGTGCTCGCGAGAGTAATTTTTTCCGCGGAGATATTGCTATTATACAATTTGTCCTCGAGATCACTTAACTCTGAAAAAATAAAAAAAACGCATATAACCCCGCGAGCTTTCAAACGCAACGTTTCAGTTTATTTTCCTTTTTTAGTCGTTCCTTTTTTTCCTCGAATCCACTTCAATTTTGTGATAATCATTACATCATCGAGGCCATTCGATTTCTTGAACAAGAATTGGATAAATTTCTTTTGAAATTTGTATATCAAAAGCGAGATGTTCGATATTTTCCAACCGAGCGAAAATTCTGCATCGATGCCGTCCGTTTTTTTTTTTCTTTTCATGGGATATAGTAAACGCATAATTGGCCCTTTCGAGAGATATTGAACGACATAACGGCACCATTGAAGGGTCTGACACGTCGGGAACGAGCATCGACTGGGTTGTAAGGTTTACCAGGTTCGTAAAAGGGATACGTCGAAGTCGCGAAAAGTCCGATAGTTCCGTCATTAATTCTGCTTCGTTAGAAGTTCGAGTACTCCCCCTCCACTCTCCCTTCTCGAGAGACTCGAATTAATTCTGTTTTGCAGGAGAAGAGCGCTGCAGTGCAGCCAATTGCATCCTCGAGTGTCTCGAGACCGTGTTTCACCTTGTTCCTTCGTCCGTAATTAACATAAATAATCGAGGTAGGAACGTTTCGACGGGGTTTGTTGTTCCTTTATCGCGCGGGGGTTGGTTCTTCGGGAAATATGAGTTCTGAAAATTCGTAAATGCTCGCTCTGCGATTATTATTCTTCCGTTGAGACCGTGCGATTCAGTGTATCGTTCGATACGGTCGTTGGTTGACTCTTTTAACTCCCAGAGCCGAAGAAATCAAGGAATTATCGTGTGAACGGAGAAAAACATCGTGGAAAGAAGTTGTTTAAGATAGGAGGCCTTTGACCCCGGTTATAAGAAGTTTGTCTTGCACCGAGAGGCGTTAATCTCCAGAAAAATGAAAGAGCAGTTTTTTTATTTAACGTCAAAACTTCGTGCATGAATATTTTATTGTGAGAATCTTCAAGAATAAAAATTTTGAACTTAAAATTCGATGCGAAGGATAGAAATGAAAATGTTCGTGCACCAGAAAGGCTAATGAACAGACTTGGGCTAATGTTTCCTGAAATAATTCAAAAGTACCAGCAGTCCGTTTCTACGTCGGTAGCTAGTGTGACGGAAGAAAGGAAAAATAGACACGTTTCCTCTTTTCTCTTCTCGCGAGGGTGCTTTCCCCTTGATAGTAACGCGAACTGTGATTTTTCTGAAGAGGGCAGACATCAGTCTCCGTATCTCCGAGGGGATGAAGTGCAGCGGAGGCTGATTATCTCCACAGTAAGTCGTATAATCCGGACTCGTTAGCAGGAATTACGGAATAAGCGAAATTCTCCTGTAATAGAATATTCTGAAAATTCTATCCGCCCACGCATTTTTCCCCATCGTAGTTCCAAAATGTTTCGACGAGTGGTCAAACCGTTGGAAAGCTAGAAACTCGATACAAGATGATCAGTCTCCTTTTTATCGACGGAGGATACAGTACAGTACCCCCTCTACTCCAAAGAAACTATTTTACCCCGTATAAACAAGTTCATCGTTCGAAGTAAAATTTTTTTATGGTCGACATCTTCGTGAAAGTATTACCATTGAATTGTCGAGGTTCTCCCGATTAAATCGAGTCCAAACACGGCCTCGTTCGAACAATTTTCACTTACACGTTCTTCTAATCAATTTTAGAAAACTGAAAATCTCGTGCGATGAAAAGTTGTCCAAACAGGGTCGTGTTTGGACTCATTTTCATCGGGAAGGCCTCGCCAATGCATCGACGATACTCTGACGAAGATATAAAAAATATAAAAATTATAATTAGTAGCTGTTGTAAATAGATTCTGTGGCGGTAATATTAAGATTCTAAGTGATAGCAAAATTAAATTTTGGAAACGTGGATGAATGGGCACCGGTGACCTTTGGAAGTCACACGTGTTGTAATGGAGAGTTGAAGCAAACGAGAGATGCACCTGGCGAATAGCCGCAGGTTGTTTGGTAGGATGTGTAAGCGGCCCTGACCGGCCAAAACATTTGGCGCGCACTTCAGTCAATGGAGATCCCCGGGAATCCTTTTTCGCGGTCGCCCGAAGTGTTTCGTGCACGGCGATATGACGCAGAAATCATTTGGAGATGAAAAATGGACGGCGAAGAGCACTCTTCACTTCGCTCTTACCTTACGAACGCCGAGTCCCTGTGACACAGTTTCGCACAATAGAGTAGTCCACCGCTTTTACCGAGGCTCCGCGCCATTCTTTTTCATTCTTAAAGGCCGGCCTCGCGGGCTTGTGTTCATTTTTAATCGTCGTCCCTCTCAGACTGGCCGCGTAACAATTCCTCGATATTCCCTGGCGCGTTAATCTCCCACCGAATTCTTTTGTTTCATCATTCAGTAGTTGAATTTTTAATAGCCAGGGACACCGATGTTGGCGCTTCGACGAGGCCTAGTGTGAAGATTTTTTCACTCATTTCAATGGAATTTAATAGCAACCGGGCCTTGGAAGCTCGACAAAATTTTTATCGGGGAAAAGATCAATTGAAAGTTCTCCGTCGTCTGTCTTTACTTGCACCGAGGGTTTGGGTTGATATTTATGATATTCGAGCGATAATTCGCACGTCAAAATTAACCTACAGCTATGTTCAACCCACTGGCGGAATTGAAATAACAAAATTGCGTGCAAGGGAAATTAAAATTTGCGTATCGACAGAAACGTATCGCGACGCGAAGTATTTCACTTTTTCCTGCAATAATGGCCGCTTCGGAACGGCAGCCTCGCAATTTTCGCGAGTATCGAGAGTATCGGACCTTCGTCTGGCTTTAAAAGCTCATAATTGCGCGGTTTCCGAATCAATGAACCGTTAATTGGTTTCCAGAATAATCCAAAGAAGAGCAGGCACGATAATCGACGCGGCGAACAATTGCGCATCTCCGAAACTTGGCCAAAATGTGAATAAGGAATCTTTTAATCCAATTAAACGTGCTACGGCGTAATTGTATATTTGCAATTAATCTCGCAGAAAAGTAGTCGGTAACGATCGATGGACCATAGAGCACGCTCGCGACACGCCTCTCGACCGACATGTCTGCTCGAGGAACGAACTTTTATTTATTTGCATTTTCTTTTTCTTCTAAATTTTTATATCTTTTCTCCCCTCCCCCATTCCGGAAGTGGACTCGAGCTATTCGACGGAGCTCCTCCGTGTTACTCTCGCCGCGACTCTGATGAACTTTGATCAACCTTCATCGCCTTTAATTAAACGCATCAGTGTCAAGACGTCCACTCGAGACAATTGCAGCCTCGGAATGCACAGGCATGCGGAGCCAGGAGTGCCTTCTTCGTCGAATAAAAATTAGCCTTGCAAGGCAAAGTGTATCGATTCTTTCTCGGCGACACTTTCTCGCGTTCACGCTTGAAAGATGACTTCCATTATGTCGGGCGTCAGCCAAAGAAAGGATTTGGAAGACCTCCCGGCAGTTGTACTGTCGAAGGGAACTCCTCTTCTCCCTTTGGTTGACTTAGTCGATGGTTTGGCTACTTAGGGTTCAGCGGCATTCAACGAAAGTAGCGACGGCCTCGAGTGTACCGCGTGAATTTTTGTTTGACGATCAGAATTACTTCGAGCACCGAGTTCATCGATATTTTCAACTGGTAGAAACGATGATTCGATTCTTCGTTTATTGCAATAGTCTGCAGCATACATTTTTAAAATTAGAAAACATTTGAAAGTAGTGAGAGGTTCGAGTGCATCACTATTCTTTACTTTCCTTAGATGATGACTTGAACGTTTGAAATTCGAAATTATTTAACGAAAACAGTGTGGAATACTATAAACAGAAAACAGAATGGGAACATTGTTGGACAACCAATCCTAAATTGTTTCGAATACGTTGCTAGGAGTGTTCTGGTCCGTAGGCGTAAGCTCTAGAGAATGGAAGCTCTCAATTTGTCGAATTTCTCCCACCGGTTGACCCTATTCTTACGTCAGTTCTACCGTACCCAGCGGAGCCGAGTGACGAAATTGTCGAATAGGAGCGAACCATTTACGGTAAACAACCACAATCGACGAAGTTCCGCCTATGTTCCGTTAACGAAATAATTGATTAGCTTTAACGAAATTTCCGCGGTGCTCTCTCGACCGGGTGAATTCGATGCAACTCTAGTCCCGGGGAACGTCATACGTCGGGAATAAAGGGGTCAGCACTTTGAACTCTGTTAGGCGAATTACGCTCGGATGGAGGGGTTCCTACGGTATTAATTCGCCAAATGGACGCGGCCAGTTCCCCCCGGAAAAGTCTGGGAAATTCCGGCGAATCAAGACGCTGTTCGCGAATCGATTTTTAATCACGGTTTTC